ATTGCATTTTATGTACAAACCAACAAACCACTGCATTTTTCACCTACATACTGACCCCTATCAGTCATTCGGTGTACTACAGGCTTCTTAGACATTATTGCTTTTCGTGTACAAAACAATAAACCACTGCATTTTTACCTACACACTTACACCTACCGGTCATTCAGTGTACTACAGGCTTCTCAGACATTATTGCATTTCATGTACAAACCAACGAACCACGGCATTTTCGCCTACATGCTGACCCCTACCGGTCAATCGGTATACTACAGTCTTCTCAGACTTTATTTCACTTCATAAGCAAACAAACTAACTACAGCATTTTCGCTTTTATACTGACTCCTATCTGTCATACGGTAGGATTAACCCCTTAGGGACACATGACATGTGTGACATGTCATGATTCCCTTTTATTCCAGAAGTTTGGTCCTTAAGGGGTTAAAGGGTATTTTTACCATACAATCAGCATTTATGACCCCTACTGGTCAACAGCAAAACTGTCTTCACATGTCATATACAATTTACCAGCCAATATAAATTACACATAAGATTGTTTTAACCCCTTAAGGACACAAGACATGTGTGACGTGTCATGATTCCCTTTTATTCCAGAAGTTTTGTCCTTACGGGGTTAAACATAACCATAAACCATAAATGAAACTCCAGCACGGGCTCAAATTCAGGTTTAATTCACAATAATTTACATTTCACATCAAGACCAACAGTGGTTCTATCAACACTGCCACCTACAGGTCTGTCAAGTACATTGACAATTTTCATGGGGTTTTACAAACACCAAAACACTTACACCTATAGGTCAACAGACAAACAACATTTCACATACCAATCAGTATCCAACTACACTGCCACCTATAGGGCACTCGGCAGATCTCCAGTGCACTTGCATTTTGCAACACCATGTTCACTGACCCCTACCATTCAATAAGACATACAACAATTCACATAGCAAGCACTATATCAACATCAGGTATAAATACATATATTATTACACAGTAGCAGACGCGTCTGTATATACGTAACTGGTAATATAGTTCACATACATTTTTCACAGCACGCTGCTCACGCAACAGACTTTCCCCTAGCAAGGGGACATACAACATACAAGGTGGGGACAGACCACATTTTCACTTGTACATACGGCACTTAATGGGTTAAGATTGATACATATTTAACCAGTATGGCTACGATGTTTAATATTTACACATCATGGCACTTTAAGTTTCACATATACTGTACGTATTAAGATAAGCTTGGTCTATGTCATATTTCCTTATGCCATATGGTTTTATCCATTCAGGTTACAGTTACTACTAAAAAACCTATACGGATTGTCAGGTTCAATACCATACTACCAGGTACATACACCTGCTCACGTAGTTATCCATCTCTTACCTTCCCTGGAATAGTAATAGTGTACTGGCAATTAGGGTTCTAGGGCCCAATAGGTATTACCCCCTTTTTTCTCTGCATTATGCTTCGGTTAGTGGTCCCGCGAGGCCAACACCCCGCCTCACACTCGGAGGCATACACCCCTCGGGCCACTCGTGAGCTAGCCGCCTCGCATTGTATCATAGAGAGGGCCTCACCTGTCACTCCCCTTCCTATTTTCTGGTTACTGTCACCGAGAGGCCAACATCCTGCCACAATGTTCGGTGGCCACACAAAATCCCCTCGCGCCAAGCATAGATAGAGCCTCTCAAGCCACTTGGCAACTAGCAGGGCCTCACCAGTCACCAAAAAACACCAAGCCTAATCGTTTCGCCTTACGGCTTAGCTAGCAAGCCAGTACAAGAACCCTGGGTACAAATAATTGCATCTTTATTGTTATTTAAGTATTTCTCCAAAAGATGGTGAAGAATCACCTCTTCCTAGCACCCCGGCTAGAATTGATACACCTTCAAGCAGAGGAGATGTTGCTAGTCCTGCAGCAATCAGATCCTGGACGATCCCACACATTACCACCGACCTAAGGAGGTGACAAATCCCCTACCCTGCTACAGCAAGGAAAGCAGAGTTATTCAAACTCCTCCATACATCAACGGACAACACGGAGGCAGGGGAAGGCCCAGCTACATCAACTCAGGTGACACCCAGGCTATGCTAGCCTCACTCATAAACTCATGAGCCAAAAAATTTTATGACAGACTGGCAATCTCGAGTTGGTCACCACAGCCCTCACAAGGCTGGGCCTCACGTTACTGTACAACCAGCACCAACCGAAACTCGGTTACCTGGTACAATCAATTCTTATGACACACAAGATGTTAACCCTGCACGTATGATCCCAGCACATTGGGGAAGCAAGGCATATATATGTATGATGATGCATCTGTGATGGTCAGATTCAGGGATTCCAGGTAAATCGGGAACTGACCATCTCTTGGATGGGTTGGTATTTGGAATATGTAGAGATGTTTATTTGTGCAGGTACCCATACAGAAGGGGTTCCCAAACAAATGGACGAGCACTCTCAGGCTCCAGGTACCACCACCTCTGAACTACCAGAGACGATTGATATGAGTAGTTGCATTGCATATAGACTGTTGCATATATGTTCAAATGGTTCAGGGCACATGACAAACCATGTGGCCCAATACAACTTACAAATAACGTACTCACCATCTGTACACACCAATGCATTTTCAACACTACTGACTCATCACCCTTCCAGACTTGTAGTAGATTTACTAAATCTCTGGAGCTTCAAAGGGCTCCCATACAGGTATCATAAACACACCTTCAAGGAATATAGCATGCCCTCACTTACAGTCAGCACAACAAAACCATTGGCTGAAAACACACTCATAGCCAAGATTTGCAGAGTGGTCTTCCAATCTCCACCATTTACAGCATGGCACCAAACACACACATTGGTATTGTCACAAGGAATCTTCCCTTAAACAAAGACTAACCATAGACTTATTGGCACCACACACCTCCGCTACCCCAAGTCTCAACTCCCTTCTTACTATACAACACCATTGATCTACCTTTACAGCTATCACTCAAGCATGGGTTAAAGCTTGGTTAAGTAAGACCAATATCATCAACGCAGTAAACAGCTACCATCTACCCTACACACTGGCACTTACATGGCATAAATTGGGCAATCCTTTCCCTGCTCAACTTTCGAGCTACAGATTAACCTACTATCGATATTCGCAGATACTCTGTGCTGGTTATGATAACATATCCAGAGGCATTACAGTCATACACTATCTAGAAGACTTCTTGTTGCTCAAAGAAAGCATATTTTTCACTAGAAGCCTCATGGCAGCTTAGTCTGGTTGACCACTTGGGCGTCCCAGTACCCCATAAGAAACAGAAGGCGCAGACACTATCATCACATTACTGGGCATATGACTTGAGTCGGCATCCATACACGCAAGTTACCACAAGACAAATAGGGAACATTCTCAACTAAATCAATCACTACTTCCTGCTTAGTACTTACAACTACAAGGAACTACAATCCCTACCAGGTTCCTTAATTTTGCCATGCCAATCTTACCACAAGACCACGCTTTCACATCCAGAGTACTTCCCCTTTTTTCCACACTTCCAACATGACGATCAAAGGAGGTGCCTAGACACCTCAGCAACAGCAGACCTGCACATGGGGGGGGGATTTCTTAACCACTTGGCATGGTAAAAGCATGTTCCTTCCAGGATTGTCTGACACTTCTCCAACCAGATGGTCAGACGCAGCGTATACCACGGGTTTGGCAGCGATCTACCGGGAACAATTGCTTTGGGGCTGTTGGCCATGGCATCCAGGTTTGGAAATTTTTCCACCACTTCAGCCCCTTTGGGAGATCTACCCCATTGTAGCAGCTGCTGTGGCATGGGGTAAATCATGGTCAGGGTCATCAATCCGTTGTTACTCAGACAACTAAGCACATATCATATCATCAACAAACACCACTACTCATCCATAAGTTCATGATGTTTCTGGGGAACTCACTTGGTTGGCCACTTATCACATTTCACTTTCATGTACCAGACGGGGGTATACATCCCTGCCGACAACTGTCTCATTTATATTCCAGGCATGTTCATCATACGCTTCCTACAGCCGCCCATACAGTCACGTCCACTCTTTCGTTCCAGAGACAAAATCATGGATTAGACATACTCATGCAGCATAGCATGCACTATCCCACCTAGCACTTTCGTCCCATACTTGTAGAACGCATAACACAGCTTTTCACCTGGCTTAAAGAATCTCATTGGAACACGACATAGCTCAACCTGTGTCACAAAATTTCACCTAAGTTTTGCTTATTTTTGCCACCTTAAACTTAAACTCTCATACACCATTAATTATATATTTTACAGGCATTCAACAACACATGATAACCTATGGCCAAAACTACCATAAACTTCATGCTATCATACCAGAAAAGAATATACTCAGAGGTTTTCAGGAATCCATTCCCCCACATTCCTCTCAGAGATTACCAATAGCCATCCAACTGTTCATCCTTATCGGACCTATTAGATCTACAACCATTCAATTATACTACCAAGTCGGCCATTACCAGCCATGCACATTGTCTTTTATGCCTTTCTCAGGCCAGAGAATCCACTACCATCACCACCACTCAGACAGATCATTGTCTTCAACGATCCCACATACGTAAACACATATATTATTACCTATTGGCTCTACCACATTCCGAAATGAGTCAACATGCACCAACAGTAGAGATAACATACTATCCTACCCACAACAAATGATGCCCACTTTCGGTCCTAGATTCCTACCTTCAAAATCCTTTCAGGAATTAAATATTGTAATGCATTTAAGGAAATGTCTGGTTAATTTGTATATATTTGTTGACTGTATTAAATCTTTGATTATTCATTTTTGCCCTCTTTATTTACAGGCCTACCGTATCGTCGGTATCGGCACACCACAACCGACTTGCTCCCTTTACACTATATTAAGCTTATGCTGGATCATTACTCCATATACGGCTATTTTGCCCCTTACACAAATATATATATATATATATATATATATATATATATATATATGTGTATATATATATATATATATATATATATATATATATATATATATATTTGTGTAAGGGGCAAAATCACCCTGATGCCGATCCGGCCCTCCTGGGCCATGTGATCGTGAGGTCCTTGCAAGGACCTCACGATCATTTGGATGGCATAGCTGTCCACAGTAATGCCTGTAAAAAAAAAGATTAAAACAGTTTAAAATTAAATTATATATACTTAGATCATATATATATTTATTATATATATATATATATATATATGATCTAAGTATATATATACACATCCACATACATCCACATAACTACACATACACTCTCTAAGTGTATTTTAATATTAATATATATATATATAATCTTTTTTTTTTTTACAGGCATTACTGTGGACAGCTATGCCATCCAAGTGATCGTGAGGTCCTTGCAAGGACCTCACGATCACATGGCCCAGGAGGGCCGGATCGACATCAGGGTGACTTCCTGGGATGCCAGGTGAGTCCAACCACCGCGATCGCCGGCGTGGGATTGCCTACGACCGCATAATTAAATAGGACGTTGGGGACGTCCTGTGCCGACTCCCGGCGTTAGGAGCCAGGTCCCCAAGGACGGCATAGCACACCTGCCGTCCTTAAAGGGTTTACACTGAAAATGGACTTTCGATAATTGGGCCACCAAAGGCCAGAAACAAAAGCAAGTGAACATGGTTCCTTAAAGGACCACTCCTCAGTCAAAAAAATGGGTAAACCCAAAAAATTACTGTTTAGTAGATATACTCCCAATGAATACATGCATGCATTTTTTCATGGATATATTAATGGAGGGTATATCTTAAAAGAGCTTGCAAAGCCTGTGGTTCTTATGAGAGACTCAACTTATTTTAGTTCAGGGGAGCTAACATAAGTCAGAAGGAAACCTCCCTGGTTGTTGGACATCTATGGGGTTGTTCCATTATTAAATAATAAAAGTGCATTTTTCAATATAGAAGGGGAGTTGGCAATAAAACAAAACATACCTAAAATCACTTTCATATTACTAATGGAGTTCTTTTTTATTTAAAATTTTCTGTACCCTAGACCTGCACACAGGTAAGTAAAACTATCTGTTGTATTATTTCTGGGGAGCACATAAGGCAATAATTAGTATAACTCGCTAATTTTAGGAGTACATGTTTAAATTTCCAACATTAGAGTGTTCCTTAATACAATAAAATTTGAGCTTCATTTTGCTAAATGGACATTAAAAATATTTGGTACAAACATAGAATGCCAATAGTTTTTAATAAGGATTATTCTCTAAAATGACAATAGCTGTGAATTTAGTGTATCTCAAATAAGGTAAAAAGAGTCAAACTAAAAACACAGAATTGACTTGGGAATTGTTTTCAAAGTCAGATATTTTTCCCTAAATTTTGAAATATGAATTTCATTTAGAAATGGCAGCTTTCACAGAATAGATGGCACTGCATGAAATATTTGAGGATTTATAGGAAGTAGCATTGCAGAACACTTCATGAACAACTGAATGTAAATATCTGCACAGATTACAGTTGTGACAACCTCTCCTTCCTATGTACGCTTGCCACAGATTCCTGGAGGAATGTAGAAGCCAGCCTCCTGCCCACCGATTATGGTCCAGGTCTGGTACACCATTTAGGAGTTACTCTGCCCAGCCTCCAATAACAGCTTTCCCTGGGTGCTCCTGGTTCAGCACTTTCCCTACATGCGAATGGAACCAAATGGTGGCTCTCTGGCGGCCGTTCGCATGAACCAAACCCACAAATAGTCCCAGCGGTAGTTAGCCACGACCACTATGGAACTAAATTCGTCATGAGGACTTTGTTATGGAACCGTTTTTGGCATGAGGTGACCGTGCGGTTCCCGGACAACTTGGTTCGCAGTTTTGAACCACGTTGAAATCCACCAGGAGAGCGATTTTTGGAGGGAAGGTGCCTGAGAGTAAGGGAAATAAATGCTATCTAAGAGCCAGATGGAGCACCCCAAATTGCAGCCACAGGAGCTCCCAAAAGTTGACCGGCAAATGCACCAAACGCCCTGGAACTATTTTGGGCATAGGACCACTTGTGCAGCCAGTCATAACTTTAACACGTGGCGTTTCCCATACACTGGATGGATCTGAGCGCTATTTGGACAACTTGGGCGCTCAGAACAGGGCTATTTAAGGATGTATTAGTTGTAGCGTTATTTTATGTTTTTATAATGTTTTGGGGTATTTTTATATTTTATATTTTTATGTTTGCCTCTCTGTTCCTGGGAGATAATTAGCTTACCGGTCTTTCATGCAATTATTTCCCAGTCCCAGAGAATTCTGTGAGGGGCTTGTGGTGAAGACAATTTAGACCCCCTGCTGGCGTCTGTATATAAAAAGGCTTTTTCTGGATGCATTAAACCAGTTGTACTCCCAGAACTACAGTATGTGTCGTCTAGTTCCTGGGAGGGGAAGGGCTACAATCACTGCTTTGCACCTTGTTCCAGCTTGTGAAGGATTCAGCGGGGAAAGTCCTTGTAAGGTCTAGAGCTCCCAGGACTGTATGTCGTCCACTCCTTGGGAGGGTATAGAACTAGTCCCCTATCCTGCTCCAGGACGTAGAAGTTCCAGGAGGACCCCAGTCAGGCCATGGCGACTAAGAGAGAAGCGCTAAAGTATTCCCCTGTTCCAGCTAGGAAGCAGTCCTTGCCGGAGTTACATTATTATTCTCCTGATAAATTCCAGTACCTTAAAATGTATTTGTCTGCAGTATTAAAAAAAGTTACCTAAACTCCCATCTTATAATGCAATAAAACATGTATATATTTTAAATATATATTTCTTGAAACGTGTAATTAAAAATATAAGATTCCCAATTATTTGTTTTTTTATCTCATTTAAAAATAAATATTCACATTTGAAACTTACACACAGGCTTCCCATGACAAATGGGAAAATGCTTTTTTTTCTGCTAAACATGCTGTTAATGAACAGTATTTCAAGGCAGTTCTCAGCTTGATTCACAGCATGGGAACAGTGGAGGTCAGAAGATGCAGTCACCCTACCTGTCAAGGCAAAGCATATTCTTCATACAGTGACATGGAATTTAATGGTAGAGGGGTCACCTCTATAAGAAGAAATCACAACTGCCTGCAAGCAAGTGCCAAACGACAGCCTTTAAAAATATTAATATGAAACTCAAAGAGAATAGGTCCCCTGACAATAAATTGTTAGCAGAAGAACTGACCTTGTTTCAGTCCACTTAAGAGATATTTAATGTGCATCGCTTAACCTGTTACTTTGACGATAAATGTCTTTAAAGGTCCACTTCAAAATGTATATATAATTTTGGTCATTACTGTGCAAATTTATATACACCATCGGTTTTGCAAATTTATCATGAACCTTTGAACATATTTAGAAATTATTTAAAACCTCATTATTGTAATAAAAAATAATAATTAACCTTTTGACATTTAATTTTTTTTAATATTTCAATATTTATTTGATCTGTTATTAAAAACATTCTCAAGATTGTCAGAAAGTTAAATGTGCAGTATTGTAGGTAATAATTACTACATTTTTATTCTATAAAGCACATTTGTTGCCAACTAATCTTCTAAAAGCTGGTTACAAAGGTTGAACTTTGGCTAGCTCAAACATAAATCCAGCAAGTCATTAAAAATAGTAAACAATTTAGTAAAAAAAACTCTGAAGTTGTTCCCATTAAATCATAATTAGCAAATTTACTTTATAGTCAATTGATAAATCAAATGTATATGGATATAATTGTAGTTTGTTTGCTTTAGTGTACCTATAATCTTAATTTTATTAATGACAGAAAGCAAATATTTTGCTTATCTTCCTTAACTGAACTTTTATAGCAGCAAACAATTTACTCATTAACAAAGAACCAATAGGAAAACAGGAAAGTCTGTATATATAGGCATGTTTCCTGAAACTCCGCCTCTTTTTTGTAGCAAGGAAACAACAAATACTTCCTTAATTGACAGTAGAACTGGATAACACCAGAAATAGAACTGGAAGCAAACCAAAGAGCATAAACTGCCTCAAGAGATACTACTGAGATTGAAATTACACTGAAAAAGAATAAATTAATCCTTAGGAAGGAAGTGATAACAGTAAATGAAAACATGCATTTACACAGCATACAGTCAATGTAACCAATAGCCCTGAATGGTAAAATCATTCAAATATTACATAATCCCAGGCAATCAATAACTATAGCATGCAAACAAAACAAACATGGATGGTAGAATGATCGTAAGAACACCAACATAAATAGAGATCTACCTACCTCCACCTAAGAGAAGTGGAAAGAAGTGGGGGAAATATTTGTTTCCTGTCTTTACTAAAATTTAACATTATAAATAAACTAAATCTAACATAAATTACACTTTTAGTGCTCTGATAAAAGTAAAGGAGGGAAATACAATTTTTGAAAAGTGTCCTTTCGTGACCAGTCTGCTGATCAAAGAATGTCTGAGAAGGACACACTTGAGGCAAAAGCTGCTGCAGCCACCAATCCCAGAACCGAATGGGCACCAAAAGAAGGATCCAAAGCCAAAGGGAGTATGACCTGACTGCCATGCAGACCCACCACATACTACAATTAGGACTAAAATCAGAAATACGCTAATGCCCTTATTTTGAATGGATTGACACAATGATCTTGCTCCTCTTTATAAATATTGCTAAAGTTCCTCTTCCAGCAACATCAAGTTTGGACAGCATCCATTGGCTGATTCGTGTCAGCTGACACATTCAGCCAATTAATTCTATCCAAGGACAAATGTAATTGATATTGCTAATTTAGAAGAAGGGCCAGACCATGGGCACCTGGGGGATGTAGATGTTAATCAGTCAGATGTTAAATGGCTTGACTTCTAAATATAGGATGTGGTGCCAGGGGCAGTGTGTACATATATGTATATAGCAGTATGTGCATGCATATTTAAGTAGGACTGTGTCCAAGCAATATTTTATACACCCAGTCAAACACCAGTATGCATTTACAGACAAGTTACACAAACATGAACAAATAGCACACACACATTTGGCTCTGCATGGAGGAGT